GGGAGGGAGGGGGGGAAAAAATGAGCTGATGCCAGGGGCTTAAGTGGAGGACAAATGTTTTGAGAATGATGAGGGCAATGAATGTACAAATGCGCTTTACACACTTGATGTGTGTATGGATGGTGATAAGAGTTGTATGAGCCCCTAATAAAACAATTAACAAAGAAACAAACAAAACAGGTTACCATTTGTCAGGATCATATATCATGAAGGATGCGTCTTGGACCCGTGGCAGCTCCTTTTGAGAGCCAGCAGCCCACTCTGTTGCTGGTCCTCAGGCTCTCAGCCTCCTGGTCCCTCGGTTTCTACCTCCGTTGGCCAGGAAGTCGGCCTGCTGCTCAGCTGCTCTGCCTCATTGGGCCGCTCCTCTGCTCTGTCTCACCATGACTCTTCTTCTGCTGACTCCAACAGAGGGGCAAGGATCTCACACACACACACATCTCTTCTCTCTTAGCCGTCATGGGACGCCCTCTTCCCACTTCTGAGATGGCTCTCTTCTACCAGGGGAAGGGCAGACTGACCAATCTCGGAGTTAGAGCCCTCTATGTCTTGTTTGGATAGCCTCACCAGCTTCATTTCATGGGAGCTACAGAGAAATGAACAGGAGGGTCATACGTAGTTAATTTCACTTTACATTATTGTACTTTCAATAGTCTTCACCAACATTCTCCATCAGTCAAATGCTCCCGTTCGTTCCCAGCCTTCTTGATTCACGGGCAAGCTGCCAAATGCACACGAAGCAACAGAAAACGTGAGACTCAGTCTTTACAGCGCCATCTCTGCTCCTTAGCACTTGAAAGTGGTCTTGTGCAGCAAGGCCATGACATTCCAGTCCACATGACTCCTTACGCCTTCCTCTTTTACCATGATGTCAATTGGTCCAATTGTGCGAATTCTTGTTTACACCGATTTGTAGTTTGTATAGAAGGGCTGGTCCCTACAGATAACATCGGTAACTGATTTTCGTCAGTAAGTGTAACATTTGTCTTCATTGATAAGATTGGATCCTCTTCATACTACAGGTTGTTAAGAAACCTTCCTCCGATCCTGATTACTCTTCTCCCTCCTATGCTCCAACTTCTTCACTGATTTGCTCAGCAAACACATAGAATGAGTATGGTGATACAACTTGGATGCACCTATTTCCTGTTTTCAAATCACCCATCATCCCCTTACTCTATTTGAATGATTGCCTCTTGGTCCATATATAGGTTTCCTGTGTGCACAATGAAGTGTTCTGATGTTCCGATTCTTCCAGATGTTATCCATAGCCATGAGCCACCGGTCTAATGCATTTGCATAGGCAATAAGAGGCAAGGAATCCTCTCTCTAGTATTCTCTGCTTTCAGCCAAAATCCATGTGAAATCAGGGATACTCTCTTTATTCTACAGCCTCTCCTGAGCCTGACTTGAGATTCTGCAGCTCCTTCTTGTTGTACTGCTGCAACCATTTTGGAGTGGTGCTCAGCAAGATTTTCATTTCCTATGATATAAATGATATTGTTTGATAATTTCACCGTTCTGTTGGGTCACCTTGCTTTGGAATGGGATCAGATGAGGATCTCTTCCGGTCAGTTGGTTGCTCTCTTCCATATTTCTTGGGACCGACTAGTGATTGCTTCTAGCACTACATCAGAATTTTCAACATTTCAGTTGATATTCCATAAATTTCTAGAGCCTTCTATTTAGCTACTGCCTTTAGTGCAGCTTGGACTCCATCTGTCAGTATCATCACGTTGCTTCTTCTTTTTGAAAGAGTTTCATTATTGTGAATTGGGGGGGGGGTACATTTCAGATCATCCATTTTGTACTCA